CTGTTAGGCTGAATAGAATGAGTAATCTGCAGGAATACGTTTCTGCAGGCTTTACAGGTAGCTGGAGGGAGAGTAGGCAGGCATATATATAGAGAGGTATTCGGAAAGGTCAGAATTACTGGAAACTAGTATTTACAAAAACCAAAGATAAGCTACAGAGAACCCACAAGGCAAAGAAAAAGGAAAACTCTAAACACCAAGGAGCATCCCTGCCTCACCCAAATCCATCTGGTCTTCCCCCATTCTTCACCGCTGTGTACAGGAACCTAGTGTCTGCACACCAGGGTGACCTGCTCTGACCCAGCGCTGACAAGAAGCCCCAGGAGCCAAAGCCCCTGGAAGCCTCCTGGGCAATCAATCTCTGTCTTCGTGCCATGAGGTTCTTCTCCTCTGTCTTCTGCGTCCGTGGCCCTGGACTGTGTGGACCTGGATGAGACCTAAGTCCTCAAGTGAGGCTGCACTGTGAGGTGTCCTGATCATAAGTAGAAGCTTCTCTGGGCCATCTCAGCAAATACAGGCCAAACAAGTTTTAAACCAAAGCAACACAGGTTAAAACACAGCAAGATGTTAACCCTGTAGCACAGGCATGAGGAAGAGGAAGCTCAGGTGCCGTCTGGATGGGCGCGCATGGAGAGTGCAGAGATGGTGCATTCCTGAGAGCTGGGGTCCAGGAGGAACCGGACAGCTGTACTGGGGTCTTCTGGAGTATTCTAAGGACTGCCCAGGAGAGCAGAGGTTGCCCTGGGATGAATCAAGGATCAGAGAGAGGCAGCCGCTCCACTAGAAAGGGCTCCTGAGGGATGGACACTCCTGCTATCTCCACTCACCTTCCTTGCCAACCACAGCGGGGTCTGGCTTCTCCACAGAAACCAAGAGAGAAACCAAGAGAGAACCACCACAAGGCCTAACTGCCCGTAACAAGCTGAAGCATCGTGGCACAGACATTTCATGCCTCAGTTACTTTAGGTGCTAGACATACCTGGGCATCCGCCTGAAAACCTAAGTAGATGCTGTGCTTGGCCCCAGGCCATGGAGTCACTTGTCACCAAATCCCAACCCTTCCCCTGAAGCCCTGCCAAGGTGAGTTTCTGGTGAAAGCAAGCATGACAGACTGCATGGGGGTCCCTGAGACCACCCTCCAACTTGAAAGGGTACAGACTGAACCAGCCAAGGGGAAGGGCTGCTGGGGAAGCCAGGCGCTTCCAGAGCCCCTCCCAGCGGAGTCACACAGGGTGCACTGGATTCCTCCAGCAAGGAGCTGGGACAGCTAGTGCCGTGGTGCGGACCAGGGAGGCTCTCCTGAACCTGGGGGTCAGTCAGGGAAGTTCCAGCCACCCACAGGGAAAGCAGGTGTTTGCCATCCATCACCTTGTTGGTCAACTACCCAGGCAAAGTAGTGCAACATGGCTCAAGTCTCTCTCATCAGTCAGAACACTGCAAGAGCTCAGTTCCCAGGAGCCAGTCAAGGGCCCTTCCTGGGAACGTGCAGGGTCTGAGCATCCAGGCCTGTTGAGTTAACCCCTTCCCACACAGGCAGATCAAATCTGCTCCATCACTGGGGCAACAAATACCATCACCCACATCCCTGGGCCCACGTGAGGGAAGGACAGTGATGGGACTGGACATGTGCTTCACAGGGCACTCTCCTGCCTCTGAGGTCTGACTTGTCTCAGTTCTTTTTAATGTGGGATCTCCAAGAGAGCCTCAACTGTATTTGATTAAAACAAAACAAAACAAAACAAAAAAACCGGCCAGGCATGGTGGCTCACACCTGTAATCCCAGCACTTTGGGAGGCCAAGGCAGATGAATCATGAGGTCAGGAGTTCGAGACTAGCCTGACCAACATGGTGAAACCCCGTCTCTACTAAAAATACAAAAATTAGCTGGGCATGGTGGCGCGCACCTGTAATTCCCAGCTACTCAGGAGGCTGAGGCAGGGAGAATCACTTGAACCTGGGAGGTGGAGGTTGCAGGGAGCCAAGATCGTGCCATTGCACTCCAGCCTGGGAGACAGAGTGAGACTCCGTCTTAAAGAAAAAAAAAAAAAAACTTCAAAAGAATGTAAGAAATATTTCTTAAAGTACAGTTTTAAAAATGCCCCTTAAAAATACATCAATGTTATATTAAGGCAAACCTACTTCAGAAGCACAGAGACTTGAAAAAAGTTAATTTCTTGTAATTTCAGGATGTTTTGGGAACGAGAAACAAGCACAGAAAATGGGCTAGGAGGACAGTGGATGACAGCGATGGGCTGATCACGGTTCCAGGATGGTCTCGCCATGGAGGTGACAGGGTGAGCGCTGCAGTGCAGGACTGGGGGCGCCACAGGAACGGGTGCTCCAGGTAGGGCGTCGTCCTGGAAGGATGAGAGTCCTGAGAACAGCTGGGTGGGAGCAGGGTCCGCCGGCTGCACGGGGGTGGGGAGGGTGCCATGAGGGCCTGAGAGCAGCGAGGCAGGGGAGGAACCCTAATCCCTCATCTGCATGAGACGTCAGGCCTGCCAGAGCCCCATGGAGCTCGGAACGGAGCTGGGGAGGAGCATTTGCCAGGCCTCCCGTCCCCTCCTTCTGCCCACTGGGATTGCTCCTGAAGGAAGAAGAACCCATCAAGTCCTTGTAAATGTGCTGGGAGAGAACCCCTGACAGTGCCTGGTGCTCACTCCTGGGGAGCCACTGTCGCAGGTGAAGTTTCTGGGCTCAGGCCCATGGCACCTGGAAAATGTCGCGTTTCAGTGAAATGATCTTCAAAGCCCAAGAGGAAATGTTCCAGGCACCCCTCAGAGACCCTGTGAGGCAGGAAGGACAGTGGGGCCACGAGGGTCCCCAGCTTCTCCAGCTCGACCTGTGCCTGGAAATTACTCCCTGAAATCGTGAGCAGAGCTGGATGCTGGGTCAGTTCTGTGACCTGTGGGACTCTACCCTTAATGGCTTCATTTATTTACAGGGATCTAACCTTATATTTATCTATGTAAAGAATGAAATTGGTCATTTCTTAGCTTCACCTGTGCTTGAGATACCTTTTTAAGAATATTTTCCTAGCCATTAAAGAACATAAGTCAATTTTCTTTTTTCATTTCCCTGTTGCTATGTGACAAAGGTAATATTCTATACTTTTTGTGTTAAAGGACTTCAAATTATTGATACTTTAGATGACTTCTAAAGTCCTTGCCATATTCTGAATGAAGAATGTGAGCCCCAGGTTAAAAACATCAACATGATGTGGACTCTTCTGAGCTCAACAGAACTGACTGAACTAGCAGTGTGTGTTTTTGCTGCTTTGTCCACTCACACACTGTCTGAGACCCATTCATGTCTCTGGAGGTCCCTCACTCACCTTGCGCTGGCTGACTCCCCTGAGGGACTTGCTGGGACGTCCTCATCCATCTGCCGTGAACGAGCATTTGGATCTCTTCCCACTCGGGTTTGTGCGAACAGTGATACCAGGTGCATCTGAAATATGCCACATGCCCAGGTGCACACGGGGCGTGTGCAGCTCCCTGACCCCTCTGTGGCGGGACAGCAATGAGGCCCAGGGTGTAGCGGGGAGGTTTGGGTGTGGGACCAGGCTGGGGTTGGAGAGAGGACACTGGATTCTGGACTTTATCTGAGGGCTGAGCAGCAGGCGTCATGGCAGATCGGGTCTGGTGTTGAACTGACCTGATTGTCCCAGAGAACTGATGTTCATGGTTTCTCTGAATAACATAGAAATGGATCCTTGTGGTCTTGAAACTTGAGAACGTGACATGTGTCTTATTTGAGTTCCTTTCTCAGGAAACTGACCATCAGGCCTCCCGGGTAGTGTGAAGGAACAGAGACTCAGCAGATCACGGCATCTGGTCAGTGAGACACCAAACCCTTCACCCATCATGATTGCCTGATCAGCCACCTGCCTCCTCCTGACCAACTCCTCTTCCTCTCTCCCCCTAATTCCGGTTTTCCTTACACATAGTCACATTTCTTCCCTGCTATACAGTCAGTCAGGAAAATGCATTTGAGGCTGACCTCCCATCTCCTAGCCTGTAGCTCCTGATGCACGCCTTCTTCACTGGCAGTAACCATCGTCTCAGTGACTGGCTTTCTGTGTGCTGAGCAGTAGGATCTGGAACAAACCCCTGCATTTTGGAAACATGGAGAGCAGCCTCAGCAGGCCCCCGGCCCCGAGTGCAGTCATGACTACCAAGGACCCACACCAACCCCCAAAGGTGAGTGTGGACAAGAAGAAAAGGCTCCTGAGGATCCAACCAGGAGAATTCCTGCAATGTCACGGAGAATCACGGCCACCTGGCCCATTCCCCCATTGAAGGGCAGCTGCAAGATTCAGCTCATTTTCTCTGCTTTAAATCCCCTGCTAATCACGCCTCGAGAAGAGCCCCAAGTCACAGAGCTCGCAAACAACCTGACTCAC